GCCTTCAGGGGTAGGTGTCCATCTCCTCTGATTGAAACTGGCTCATGTGATTCATACTAGACCAAGAGTCTGTTTAGGAGAACACGGAGACAGCTTGTAATTATGCCCTGGAAAGCACACCATCTCATCTTCTGCACCGCGGCTGTCCTGGAAGAAACACTGAACACAGACCCCTGCTCCTCTCCCCTCCCTGCCTGTCTGCCTTGTTGCATCTGGTCAATTCTAACAAACATTCCTAATGACCGGGCTATATCGGCATTACCTAGTCAAGTAGCCCATTCAGTTTGCTCAAAAGGGCACAGACATAATCAAGCATTTGGCTGAATGCACAATTCACACTGAATAGGGCAAATATTTGGATTCAAGTATAGGTCAGCAGCAACCAATTGAAATATTGATAAAGGAAGCCTGTGGGAACTGAACGTACATAAAAGAAAGAAGAAAAGGAAAGAGAAAAAGGAGGCCTCTAAGGGGTGAGCCGGGGCAACAGGACCACAGGGGCGATTTCTCTCTGCAATTTGGTGGGTGGCTTGGCTCAGGGGGTTAGCAAAGCCAGCACTGACAGCCTGTGATTCTAGTTTCAGAAAGCGGCATGTTCAAACCATTTTGTTTGGTTCTAAAGTGGAATTCATAATTTTCTACAAAAGTACTATGAAGCTTTCCAATAGGAACCTCACTCCCGCTGCCCGTGTCCACGGAACTTTATTAAGAGAGTTAGACTGGAGGTGCTTTGTGGGTTTTTTATATTGTCCAATTCAGCCATCAAATCACACTTGGGTAGGTTTTCTTGACTTAAAAACCCTCCAGAGCACCGAGGCACCCCTGGTCACCTCCTCGGCTCCAACCCCCGTCGTCCACTCGCCCGTGACGCTCAGCAGCCCAGACCTCTGTGGCCCAAAGTAAATGTTTGCCGCACTCACGGCCCACGTATAATGCCTTGCTTTATGGGTGGTTTAATTCTCAAACATCCCCTCTGCATGTGGGCATTAATATGCCCCAGTGCCACACTCAGCCATATCCTCTTCCTCCTAAAAGGGTCAGAGACCCCAGTCTCCGACTTCTCCAGAGTACTCAGCTTTCTTTGCATCTCCCTCCAGACTCCTCCGAAGTCCAGCCCAACACTCCCCAACCTCGTCCTTGAAAAGCTCCAGGGAGTGGTAATTAGGCAAAGAGCCCTCTGCCATCCCCACTGGTTGGTTCCCCTGCCCACGAAACTGCAGGGGCAGTGGGAAGAAGGGGCAAGAGCGTGTGCCCCCGGTACTCAGAGCTTGACTGAACTCGGGCGGTGGAGAGCCTCCGACATCCAGGGTCCACCTGCCTCCAGCCTGCACCCCTGCAGGCGGCACCGGGAAGGGGGCGCCCTCCCGCGGGGACGAGAGGCTGCCCAGATCACATCCTCCTGTGTGGGGCAGGAGAGGCGAAGCTTGGGTCTGTGTGGCTGCGGAGCCTGGCGCTCCCCACACCACCTGGGGGCATGCTCAGGGCAGGCTACCGCATGCTGGCAATTCTGCGTGAAGAAGTGAGCCACGTGGAAGCGGGTTGGGGCAGGCCTGGACAGTCCGATTTTAAAGCCAATGCTTCCTTTATTCAGCAGAGAGCTGGAATTGATATAGCTGGGAGCTGAATATTCCCTAGCCATGTCTTGGCCAGAGAATGAGACAGTAGAAACTCTTTGACTGATCTCTGTCTTTGGGGTCTTAAAGTTTATGCCTATATATACATATGTGCTATGCTTAGTCACTCAGTTTTGTCCGATTTTTCGTGACCCCATGGACTGTAGCCCGCCAGGCCCCTCTGTCCATGGGGATTCTCCAGGCAAGAACACTGGAGTGGGTTGCCATACCCTCCTCCAGGGGATCTTCCCCACCCAGGAATCAAGCCCTGGTCTCTTGCATTGCAGGCAGCTTCTTTACCATCTGAGCCACCAGGGAAGCCTTATATATATATAACTTTGGAAAATATAGATGTGAGATCAAAGTAGGCCATCTATGATTTTGGCATAAACCAAAATCTGTTTTTGGAATAAAAAGACCTAACCATGACCCTAAATGGGCCTTCACATACTTTCTCCATCCCAGGAACATCTTTTTTTCATTATTACCCCACCTATAAAAATGTGTGGCAAGTGCAGTTGTACTGTATGGAACAAATGTAGATGCCTTCCCTGGTCAGGAGTACTTGGTTGGTTCATTGAGAAAGTCCATCAAACACAGACTTTTAAAAAAGCAAACATTTTTATTTAGCTTAAAGCAGAGGCGCATATATTCACATCAATCTTATGATGTAAGCCTGCTGTCTTTTCTTTGCAAAGACTCCATAGATTAGAGCTCTTCATCACTTGTGTTGTATAAGTCATATCCTTAATGCATGGATGATGATGGCCAGTTTTGGTTTCTTTAAAATGCAGAGACATTGTGAACATAATAAAAGCATAAAATTATGCTAAACATTAATAAATTTCCCCTAAACTTTCCTGGCAATCTTATCCATATCTGATTCGATCAAAAATGTTTTAGCAACCATTTTTTTTGGCCAAGTCTTTTCAAGTTTTCACGTTTGCTGTCTTTTTCGTGTATTCATTTGTTTGTAGGACACTCCCTGGTGATGGAGTCCCATCAGGGTTTGGCATGCTCCTTTGTTTGTGGATTTAGTCAATATTTGATCAGCTGCATGGTTATGCCAGCAGGTACTTGGGATCACCCTTGCTACCCCACCTGACTGCTCTCAGCTGGCCCTGTCCTGCCCCACTTCCCCTCACAGCCTTTCCTCTAATAGAAGCCGGGCCATCGAATTCCATCTCTGCACCTGCTTCTCAGCAGACCCCCAGCTGATGCAGTGCACACTGCATTTATTGTGCGAAAGAGAAATGACTGTAGTAGAAAAACGCATAACTGAAAGAAAAAAAAATTCAATGATGCTTTCAGGACATCTCTTTAAATCAGAATCTACATTCAACACAATCTACATAAGCACTTCCAGTAGTGAGAACTATTCAGAAAGAGACACCTGAAACCTGCAGTAGTCTTAATTGTGACAAAAGTTCACTTCTCTAGTGTGTACTGTAAATTAAGCCAGGAAACTAGACTTGTGCGTTTACTAAATGTGTTTCTATTCAATTGGACATATAACCTCATTATGGGAAATTAGAGAAGAGAGGAATGAAAAAAGAATCTTGCCTGCTAACTAAACCATTGTTACTTTGGTGAAGAGTGAGTTCATGAATTTTAGAAAAGTTTTACAAGGATTGGAGCACATAGGATTGTTAAATTAACAGTCTAGTAATCAGACTATTCAATTAACTAGAACCCAAGCCAGGAGCTTCTCGAGTCCCAGATGGTCAGGTAACCGCAGAGGCTACTGCAGGGCATGCCCAGCCCAGCTCTCTGGAGGTCACCGTGGGCCAGGTGGCGCTGATGATAAAGAGCCCGATGCCAGTGTAGGAGACGTAAGAGACTTAGCTGTGATTCCTGGGTCAGGAAGTTCCCTGACAGGAGGGCGTGGCAATCCACTCCAGTGGTCTTGCCTGGAGAATCCCACCGACAGAGGAGCCTGGTGGACTGCAGCCCATGGGGTCGCAAAGACTAGGGCACGACTGAAGCCATTTAGCACACGCTGTGGGCCTGGCTTCCAGGCCTGTCCTCGGTAGCCTGGAAAGGGGGGTGGGGCAGAAGGTGGCCCCGGGAAAGGAAGCAGGTGTCCTTTTTTCTGCCTGCATTTCTCAGGCTGATTGCACGGGGCGGCAGGGCTGTTCCACCCAGGTCTGAGATAATAGCTGCGTCATCTCACAGGAATCCAGCCCAGAGCCACCCGTGACCGGTCTCTACTCTGTGCTACAGTTGAAGCCGGGACTGGTGTGCAAAAGTCATGAATTTTGCCACTGGGACAGGTGTTAAGTAATTACTCGGAGAACCTCCGGCTTTCTAGGAGTTCTGGAAGGCAGCTAAGGGCACTCCCCTTAGTGCTTTGGGGCACTCCTGGGGCTTCCCTGGGGGCTCAGCTGGTAAAGAAGCCGCCTGCAATGCAGGAGATTCTGGTCCGATCCCTGGGTTGGGAAGATCCCCTGGAGAAGGGAACGGCTACCCACTCCAGTGTTCTGGCCTGGAGAGTTCCGTGGACTCTATAGTCTATGGGGTCACAAAGAGTGGGACATCACTGAGTGACTTCCACTTTTTGGGCTTCATAGCGGCAATACTGCCTCCTAGAGGTTGTTTAGGAACTTATGCGTGGGGAGTGTGTGTGTGTGTGTGTGTGTGTGTGTGTGTGTGTGTGTGTGTGAGAGAGAGAGAGAGAGACAGAGAGAGAGACAGAGAGAGAGAGAGATTGTTGTCACAACTAATGAAGAGACCGGGACCTAACCCTGTTTTACATATAAACACAATTGGTCTCTTATAGAGAGACCTAAAAAGAGTTGTAGATTTTAATCTACAACAATTCTGTGTAAATTCAGGAAAGATTATACTTACATTCGGCTGGAATTTTACTGAGAGTTACTAGCCAGTACAGCGTAGTTCGTGGTATTTGAGTCACGGGCGTTTACTCTGTGGCTGTCATATTCGGGTAAGTATATACACAGACACAAACATCGAACTACTTCCCTCTGTCTTCTAGCTGTGACTGTATCATTTACACGTTTGATACATGTTAATTTATTATGATGACTTCACTTCTATTATTCTTCAGGGGAAGAGCTGACTCCTTGGAAAAGACCCTGATGCTGCGAAAGATTGAGGGCAGGAGGAGAAGGGGACGACAGAGGGTGAGGAGGTTTGATGGCATCACTGACTCAATGGACATGAGTTTAAGTAAACTCCAGGAGATGGCGAAGGACAGGGAGGCCTGGCGGGCTGCAGCCCATGGGGTCGCATAGCGCCAAACACCACTTAGTGACTGAGCAACAATTCTCCATGTTACTGTTAGGACATTAGAGTGATTAAAATATTATCTGTGTAGGTAAGTTATATCTGAACATTTGATTTTGTTATGGGGGGATTTATACACTATTAGTTACGAAAAGGAGACTTCAGGTCTGATCGAGTTGAGAAATGCCGTTCAAACTGAACTTGCAGCCCCCGGCAATTCAGTTGTGGGGAGTCCCTCGGAACCGGCTTGTTCTCGGGGCTGTCCCTGCTGTGGGCTCTGCCCTGGTGCCCTCTGGAGACCGCTCTGGCGCTGGCCCTCTGCGGGGTAACACAGAGCCCACACCTCAACCCACCACTCTCTGTGTTGGTCCGGGGCTTACCCAGAATCTTGAAGCAGGACAAACCAGGTGATGCTTGTTGGATGTTGGAAAGTTAGCTTATGGATTCAAGCTCATACAGTTCTGAGGTCCGGCATTAGGGAAGGTGGGTCTATTTACGAAGCTGCCTCTGAAGATCCCATTCCAGTCTTGAATCCCGCCTAGGATAGCAACGTCTCTTCACCCAAGCAGATGGAAAAATGGAGAGCAAACATATTCTCCTTGATTCCAAAAGCAAATAAAAAAAATTTTCATTAAGTTGAGGTAATTGGCAAAGTTTTCCTTACAGAAAGAATGTTACTTGATAAGAAGTTGTCCCCTGAATAAGCACCTTTGAAGCATGTTCAAGAGCCTTGGAAACACAATTAGATACTTGCTTTAGGGACTTCCCTGGCAGTCCAGTGGTTAAGACTTTGCCTTACAACTCAGCGGGGGTGGGTTCAATTCCTGATGCGGGGCTAGGATCCTGCATGCCTAGTGGCCAAAACAGAAGCAATGTTGTAACAAATTCAATAAGGACATTAAAAATGGCCCACAGCAAAAAATCTTAAAAAAAAAAAGATACTTGGTTTAACTGCAAAAGACATGAGCAGCGACTCTGTGGGGCCTCCAGGGGGCTTGGTGCTTAAGTGAAATGGACTGTGTCTCCACCCTGCTTGTTGCTGCCTCCTGCCGGGACCGCTGCCCGGATCTGGCAAATGTTCAAGCAGGAATGTAGGTTTGTCCCCATGCGAGCATCACAGAGGCAGCAGCTTGGTGGGAAGTGACTCAGGCCAGCTGCCCAGAGGCTCCCGTGCGATTCAATTGCTCCATCTGCCGAGTCAACTAGGAAATGCAAAAAACGCTCAAGGGAAGGGGGAGAAAGGCAGGAAGGGAAACACAGTTGGACGTGTTAACCGTGATGGTCCATATACCGAGTTGTTCATCACATGTGTGAGACAGAGAACCCACACAAGGAAGACACTGTTACACCCATTTTGCAGGTGAGGAAACTGAGAGTTTGAATTACTTTGCTTAAAATCACACAGCTGTTAAGTGGTGCGCTTGATTTTTTGAGGTCTCCCACCGAGTAAAGTAGGGGGAATGAATGTTGTTGGACCAGATGTGTGGTATTTTCTCCAGAGGCTTCTTTGCCTTAGATATCTTTGCTGTAAGCACTTTTGCCTCAGACAGTTTTGTTGTGCAAGGAATTGGCCGTAAGGCAATTTTGCCCTGAAAGATGGAATAACTGGTTGATGGTTTGTTTTCAACGGATTGAAATGCATTAGCTTTTCTTCCAGTTATCGACATTAAAAAAAAAAAACTACAGTATTGATGATGATGATTTGCCCCAAGAGTTGCTTTCTTATTTTTGAAACACTCTACATTGGAGGTGTAAGAGGCAGGAGGCCTTGAAGGCACAGAGCTGAACCCACGTGTCCTATAGAACTCTGGAACATCTCTCAAGGGACATGAGACAACGTGCCAAAAACAATCAACAATGTACAGACTTTCCCAATGTAGTATAAACCTCAGCTACCAACACCCATCCTAGTGTTTTAAAAGTACTTTATGGAATGGATATATTCACAGTTTACACAGTTTTTTCCCTACTGATGGTTATTTGGTTTGCTTTCAGGTTTGGGTTTTTTTCCTACTATAAACAATGCTGCTCTGAAAATCCTTGTACATACATCTTAGCGCACGTGTGTAAGGTTCTTGAGGTGAGATATTAGGACATCAGATTGCCAGGTGGTAGGGTGTGTATATTAGAAGTATTAATAGAGACAAACTGCCCTTCCAAAATGTATATACTTATCAGCAACATCTGCCTTTCCCATTATCTTTGCCAACTCTAGTTATAATCATTTTTAAACTTTGGCATTCTTTTGGGTGAGATTATCTCAATTTTTAAAAACATTTGCATTTCTTGGATTTTTAGTGAATCTGAGCTTCTCATGTTTATCCATCATCCTGCCCTGAATTGCCCATTATGACTTTTTTCTATAAAAGCGTTTGTCTTCTTTTTTGTTGTTGTTGTATATGAATCTTTTCATTTAAATAAAAGTATTACATTTTGATGTTGTCAAATTTAAATTTTTTCCTTTATGCTTTTAAATTTTTTAGGGGTTGATTAAAATGTTTTCATATATAGTAAGGGCATTTGTCTAGGTTCTTATGTACATTTTTAAAAAAATCCTATGAGTTTTTGTATTTATATTTAACCTAATTGGATTTAACTTGTGCTTGTGGTATGAAGGCCCAGGTTTAGTTTTTCCAAATGGAAAGCCTACATTCTAACATGTATTGATTGATAACCTATCCAATGATTCAAAGTGCCAATTTTATTATGTATTAAATCTTGATATATATACATAAGTCCATTCTTAGTTTATCCTTGATTGATTTTTCTATTTATTCACTTATTGGTATAAAAATACTTGCCCTTTTAATTATTCTGGCTTTATAATATATTTTAGTATTTGATTGGGCAAATCTTTCTCTTTTGTTTTCAAAATTGGCATGGCTCATTTTGTGCTTTTACTTTTCTTTTAAAATTTTGGGATAAGTTTGTCAAATAAAATCCTGTTGGGATGTTGTTTGGGATTGTTCTGAATGTCTATATTAATTTTGGGGAAATAGAAAACCTTACAATCCTGGGTTCTTCTATCCAAGAGCATGGCATTTACCACCATTTGTCCAGTTTGTTTTTAAATGTTTGTTAGGAAAGTTTTATAGTTTCTATGAAAAGGTCACATGCCTTTCTTGTTAGGCTTATTTGTAGATCCTTTATAGTGTTTGTTGCCATGGTAAATTGAACCTTTTAAAAATGATGTTCTAATTGTTTCTGGCTGGCACACAGCAAAGCCACTGATATCTGTACTTTGATCTTGTATCTTCTCACGTCACTGAAACCCCTGGTTAGTCTTGTTTGTTATGCTCTCTTAAAAAACAGATTATATATTCTGCGAATAATAAGAGTTTTCTCTAGTCGTTCCTATATTTGTGTTTTTGGATCTCCTGATTTTCTTCAGTTTTACTATGGTGTATATGTGGGTGGGTTTTCCACTTAACTGCATTTTTCCTTTCTTTCTTTTTTTTTTTTTTTTTTGCTTCCTGAATCTGAGAAATGCTGTCTTCAACAATTCAGGAAAACTTCTCAGCCATTTTCTTTGGTTATTGCCTTGTTATTTTCTTTCTAATACTTCCATCTAGAATTCTGATCTGCTGCATTTTTGTCATGTTGCCCCATACGTCTCTTCCTTCACATGTTTCATTTTTTTCCCTCTTTGTCTGCATTCTGCGTAATTTCTTCAGATCTCTGCTTCTAGTTAATCAGTTCTCCTATCTCTCACGCTTGGTTTAGACCGTCCATTTGATTTTTTAAAATGACGGTTATACTTTTCAGAACTTTTGGGGCTCTTCCCCAGACCTCCCTGATCAAATCTGAAAATCTCACGTTCCTCTTGCCTTTCTCCTAAAATCACATTTGCATCTGAAGTTGCCACATCTGCGCTCTCCGTGGCTCTCTCTCAGCACTTCATTGTTCCATCAAACTCACTCTCGTTCCCTTCCGTGTGTTTAATGACTTTTGACCAGGGGCTCATATTTCTTGGAAAGTTACCCGTGGGCTTTTCCTTTGAGAGCGGAGTGGAGAGCATGTTTGGTCTGGAGGGCTCTGTGTTTGCCTGGGGGCTCTGTTCTGGCCACCCGCAGCGGGCGCAGGATCCGGGCTCCCCACCCAGGGATGGAGCCCGGACCCCCGGCATTGAGAACGCCGAGTCTTAACCACTGCGAGGCCGCACCTGGGCCACTTTAAACAAAATTTTCATCTCAGAGCCTTTCTCGGCACAGTGGTGGTCTCGGCACAGGCTTGTGGCGCCCGCATCTTGCATCTTGGCGGGCTCTCCCCGGGTGTTCTCTCTCCCTTCATTCGCCCACTGAGTCCCTGGTCCAGTCACCCTCCGCCGCCCCCATTCCCTGGGATTGGTCTGCTCCGCTGCCAGAACTAACACCACGGACCTGCAGTGGGCAGCCTTTCCCTTCTCCAGGGGACCTTCCCAACCGCAGAATCGAACCCGGGTCTCCCCGATTGCAGGCGGATTCTTTACCCGCTGAGCCTCAAGGGAAGTCCAATTCCGGGGACGGGGTGGCTTAAGCGGCAGCAGCTCCGTCTCTCATGATTCTGGAGGCCAGAGGACTGCAAGGAAGCCCCCCGCCCGGGCTGACTTTTTCCAAGGGCTGCGATGGAGAAGCTACCGCACCCCTCTTCCCGGACTTCTGGGGCCTCGCCGGCAGTCCTCGGCCGCCTCGGCTTGTAGCAGCGTCACCCTGGCCTCTGCCTCCACTCATCTTCACACGGGGTTCTCCTTGCCGGCCTGTCTGTGTCCAGGTTCCTTTCTCCTTTTTTATGACACCAGTCATATCGGAGCAGGGCTCACCCGAGTGACCCCACTTTAAAACTTAACACACAACATTGTAGATTAACTATACTACAATGGAAAATAAATTAAAAGATAAATATTCATTAAAAAAAGAACAGAAATCTTCTCAGTATGAGCATTAAACACTTAATAAAGTTAAAAAAAAAAAAACCCAGAACCCTAATTACATCTGCAGTGAACCTATGTCTGAAAAGGTTACATTCTGGTATACCAGGGGTTAGGACTTCAATGTATGCATTTCATAGGGGGACACAAAACAATAATTCCTTTCTTTTGCTCCAGACTTTACTTCCAGTGCACATGTACATGGCCCATGAAAATGGACTTTCCAGGAGATTGGGGACTAGCAGATACCCCGGGATAAATGCCAACCCAATTCCTACTTGCCTCTCTGGATCTGTCATTTTTGACTTCCAAATAATTCTCATAGTTTCCCACCAGGTCAAGGCATTTAAAAACATGTTTTTTATTTTTTTTTTAACATTTTTATCCATCATCTTAAGGTTCACAAAAGGAGTATTTTGTCACACTATCTACTCCAAAATATTCCTGGAAGTAGGAATTCCTTTTGGCGTAAAATGAATTCAGAAGTTCTATGTGACTTCCTCTTGGAAAGAAGTAAAATTTTCAAATGATTGGTTTAATGTAATCAACATTTTTGAATACATCTCCCAATAACTCCTCATCCTAAAATAGCACAAGATAGGAAAGACATGAAAACTAAACAAAATATAATTCTGGCAGGAATTCTATGTTTAGAAAAAAGAAAATATTTAGAGTGGGGTCTCTTCTCCCTGAACTGGTAGAATGCTGATATAAATTTGGAACTATTCAAGTTAGTTTTCCTTGCTCTGACACATTTTTTGAGAGTTTGAAGTCATCCTTCACTAACTTTTTATCCCATTAGCAAACTGCACAGCTCCAGAATAAAGATCATGTACCCACACTTCAGATCTGACTATAACCAGAAACTTTTAAGTAGTTTGGTACTTACAAAGTCTTGTTGCATGTGCTAATTTTCCAAGTGGTATATAGTCTAGAGAAGATTTGTGTTTGTTCCTGCCAGCACATAGTTTCACGGTAACTGGGTTCTTTTTTAAAAAAATTGATTTCATTTCCACCCACCTCTTTCACAATAGCATAGCTAAACCTTAGTTTCTTTCTACAAACTTAACCTCCCAAGGTTAAGGCATCGCCTTCACCAGGATTGCCTTGGTCCCTGGGGACATGTCTCTGCAGAGATTCCTTGAAAGGACCCCTTTCATCCCACTCTCATCGCTTGTAAAAATGGGATGCATTCTGAAGGATTTTTTTCGCTTGTCATTCAGCCCTCTCTTTTTCAGAGAGTACTTTGACACATGTTCATTATTTTTGTCTGGTTGCACTTCCTCTGATTAAAGAGAAGACCAATACGGAAAGAAGACACCTATGCATTATTTCTATTTCTAGTAGACAGGAAGGATTCTGAAAACGTGGCTCATGGAACATGTTAGAAATGCAAATTTTTTGGCCCTACCCCAGACCTACTGAATCACAAGCTCCGGGTGTGGGGTCAGTCTGCTCATCTGGTTTAACAAGCCCTCCAGGTGAATCTGATCCCCACTCAAGTCTACGAGCCACATGGCTAACACCTCCCTTTCTGATGTTTTTTCTCCTCCTGGGTGGGTGTGCAGTCCCTCTCTCTGGGTGCTGACAAGTGGAGCCTCTTACATAAACGGGGAGGGGAAGGCAGATTCACTAAGAGCAAGTGGGCAAACACGTAAGTTGTAGCATCTAACCACTTCCCTTCTAAGAATAGAGCCCATTTTTTTCCCAAAGACTTTTTCCTTTCTTTTTCTATTTGACTGCACCACACGGCATGTGGTATTTTCATTCCCTGACCAGGGATCAAACCCACGACCCCTGCATTGGAAGCTCCGAGTTGTAACCACTGGACCGCTAGGGAAGTCCCTAAGATTAGAGCCTTGGAATGGGAAGAAAAGCAAGAATGAGAGCAAGCAGCCTCTCAAAGCTGCTCAGTGCCATGGCCAGAGAAAGTCAGATAACTCCGGTCCTTTCAGAATCCATCTCACCTATCCTGGGGGGAGAGGTGCGGTGCTGGAGGACTCCTGTCCATCCCTGACCTGAGCACAGTCTTAGAGGGTCTTCTAATTGGGTGTTTGTGCTAATATTCACTGGCATTTGTCTGTCGAGGGTTTTTAATTGTATCAGACTGTTTGACAGCGTTATTACAAAAAAACTAACAAATGTCAGTAATTCCAGTGGTTACAGGAGATGACAGCTCATTTTTCCTTGCATACAAGTCCAGAGTTGGGGTGCCAAGGATTAGCCTAATGGCTCCATGATCATCAGGGACCCTGGCTCCATTTTCTTTCTACTTTACCCTCTGTTATAGTACAATTCATGTACGAAAGTGAGAGTTCACCATAAAGAAGGGTGAGCACTGAAGAACTGATGCTTTTGAACTGTGGTGTTGGAGAAGACTCTTGAGAGTCCCTTGGACAGCAAGGAGATGAAACCAGTCAATCCTAAAGGAAATAAACCCTGACTGTTCACTGGAAGGACTGATGCTGAAGCTCCAACACTTTGGCCACTTGATGTAAAGAGCTGACTCACTGGAAAAGACCATGATGCAGGGAGGGATTGAAGGCAGGAGGAGAAGGGGACGGCAGAGAATGGGATGGTTGGATGGTATCACTGACTTAATGGACATGAGTTTGAGCAAGCTCTGGGATGTAGTGAAGGATAGGGAAGCTTGGTGTGCTGAAGTCCATGGGGTTGCAAGGAGTTGGACATGATTTAGCAACCAAAGAACAATAATAGTTCAATTCATGGTGTAAGAATGGTTTCTTAACTTCTCAACATTACATCTAAATCCCAGTCAGCAAGAAAGAGGAAAAGAGAATGTGTTCTTCCTTTAAGGACACTTTCTGGAAGTTAAACATAAAATTTTGCTCACGTTCTTTGACCGGTACCTTGTCACATGACATCTCTAGTTGCCAGGGAGGCTGGGCAATGTAGTCTTGATTTTGTATGATCATAAGTCCCAGCCAAAAGTCAGTTTTATTACTAAGGGAGAAAGTTAAGGACACTTAGCAGTCTCTGTCTCACAGGTCTAATTTTAAGGGCTGTAGGTCACACCTACAACACTTCTGGCTTCCCAGGTCTCTTACCCAAGTTTTTGGGGCCAGTTCTGCCAATATACCTACTTCTCCATCTTTCTCACTGCTAACTAGACTCACCAACTGCAAGAAATCACATGGGTCTTTTCAGGTGGTGAAGAAGTTCAAGACTGGCTTACTAATTCTTTGCATTGTACCATGCAACTCACTTTGGAGACTTCTTTGAGGTTACAAGAGTCACTTTCTGATTCTCTGGGAAAGAGCACACAGTCATGGTTCTGTCAACATGGAAACCAGGCAGTCTTTGCTGGGTCATAGAGGTGGTCGTGAGTTTGGCACGGGTTCCAGCCCCTGCCAAGGGCATTCCGGGAAATTGGTCCTGAGCTGCTCAGACGCTCCCATCTTTGGGCTTTTAAGTCCCCAAACAACTCTTGATGTTGAGGCCTTGTGGAAGTCCACGTGGATTAGCATCATCACTCTGTCCCCAAGCCTGTCCATCATTAAATGCCATGAGGATATATTCTAGCCACTAGTAAAGCAGTTTCCCTGGACCATTGGGTTTCCTGGTGGCTCAGATGGTAAAGAATCCACCTGCAATGTGGGAGACCTAGGTTCGATCCCTGGGTTGGGAAGATCCCCTGGGGAGGGCATGGCAACCCACTCCAGTGTTCCTGCCTGGAGAATCCCCAGGGACAGAGGAGCCTGGCGGGCTACAGTCCACGGGGTGGCCAAGAGTCAAACACGACTGAGCCAGTAAGCACAGCATAGCACTAGACCATTACGTCTCATACATACTACATATCACAAATCTCTCAGAATTTTCTGATGGCAGTTAGCTCATATTAGAGACACAGCTTAACTGTTGTTGTTCAGTTGCTAAGTCCTGTCCGACTCTTTGTGACCTCAGGGACTGCAGCTTGCCAGTCTTCTCTGTCCTTCACTATCTCCTGGAGTTTGCCCAAATTCATGTCCATTGAGTCAGTGATGCCATCCAACCATCTCATCCTCTGCCACCCCCTCTCCTTTTGGCCTCAAACTTTCCCAGCATCAGGATCTTTTCCAATGAGTCAGCTCTTCGCATCAGGTGGCCAAAGTATTGGAGCTTCAGCTTGAGCCTCAGTCCTTACAATGAGTATTCAGGATTGATTTCCTTTAAGATGGACTGGTTGGATCTCCTTGCTGTCCAAGGGACTCTCAAGAGTCTTCTCCAGCACCACAGTTTGAAAACATCAGTTCTCTGGTGCTCAGCCTTCTTTATGGTCCAGCTCCCCTTGGTGGCTCAGAACAGTAAAGAATCTGTACATGATGACTGGAAAAGCAGGGATTATA